TACTGTATATGAAATAATTTGATACACTCTAGTAAATCATAGGTAATATACACATGTTATCATAACCTTATAATTAGCATTCTAACATTTATGATTATAATATATTTAATAAAAATGCTTTATAGTATATTCTTTTTAGTATATAGGTAAATATCTGTAACATACAGAATACATTATTGAAATTAAATATATGTTTGTAATTATTATATTCAATCAATAAGTAATTTCTAAATCAGAAAATTTGACATTCATGGCTAATTTTAAAGTATTTTGATTATCAAAATAGATGATCACTGATTTTTAAAAATTGATATGTTGAATATTAAACTTCTTAAACATATTGTCTTTAGTGAAGTAATTGTTAATAAATTTAATGATTGTTAAAGTAAGAAGTTCTTTAACATTTTTTCTAATACTGAATGCATAAATGATAGGTATAGAGTGAGAAATAATAATAAATCCCTAGATTCAGTTTCTATTATATTTTTTTCGTCAACTGGAACAAACTCATTATGATTTAAAATATTAGATGAAAGGGTTTTCTTTAATGAAAAAGTATCAGTGATAATGGAAGTATCTAAATATAAAGCTTTTTAGATTATTTATTAGAGGTAGAGGCTATAGGTTTTGATTACTTTATTTTTGAATCAAAGTATAAGTTTTTGTAAAGTATTTTAATAAAACTCTTTTTAAAATAAAAGTGTATTTGAAGTAAATAGTAAAACTATCTAATAGAATTGTAAAAAATTGAAAGTTTTTAAAATATAACATTTTTAATTTCTAAAAAATTTTGTTTTCAAAAATTCAAGTAAAAAAAGAAAGAGTTTCTTTTTTTTAAAAAATTATAAAAAATAAATCATTATAAATTATATGGAATTGTAATACAAAATCATTAAAATACTGTACATATATAAATCTTATAAAAAACATATTATTTTCTTATTTAAATTTCTTATATAGCAGTTATATTAGTGGTAGAAATTTCTGATATTAAAAAAAGTATTTGCATTGATATATTTTTTATCATATAGAATCTCATATTAATGAATATAAGTATTAAAAGCATAATAAAGATAAAATTCCATTATCTATAATTACTATATAATTAACAATGATATTTATAGCATTGAATAGATCACATATAAGCTTATAAGTTCAAATAAACTTGGTAAGTATATTGTTTGTATTAAATTTGTTAATAATGTAACTTCTAATTTTATTCTTTTATATTATTAAATGAATTTTATATATTAGTAGTAAATAATTTAAATAATTTGTTTATATTTACATAAAAAAGGTAGAATAGTTTTTAGCATAATAGGTGGAATTATTGATATTCAAATTATAAAAGAAATTATAACATTCATAATTGATGGATTACTATTAAATAGATATCAATTTCCCTTGCAAAATGCATTTGCATTTACTATACATAAAACACATATCTTTATGCATAGTCCAACAAATTTTCTCAGCTGACCAAGCATGTGTTGCATTAAGTTGATGCTTCAACTTGGCTAAATATATATCATCTCTTTACATTCTTCTGCTTTTATTATAGATGAATCAATGATTAAAGAATACAAATGTTTAGAACTAAAGACTGTGACTCCATTACCTCTATAAATATTATTCTTATCCAAATAATTTTACATAATAAAAAATATAAATATTCAATAAATAATAAATAACTAAAATAAACAAATAGAATAATGCCAAACTAATACTAAAAAGAAAAAAACCGCTAACTCTAGTTTTGCATAATATACCCTGAATTTACTGCGCCATATGCCAATTAAGTGCAGGATATTTTTCAAAAGTATATATTGAATCTCAGTAGGTTATTTTTATTAAAAAAAAAAGATATAAAATTTCTAATAACGTTTTTGGCAATATTTTCAGTTTTGCGGTAACCGAGCATAAGCAGATTATTTCTTTAAAAAAAATTTAAATTGCTACGGGAACGGTTGTGGTTTTTATATGTAATTTTTTTTTTTTGATCTTTCCGACACCGGAGTTATGTTTATTATACCTGATTTTAATGAAGGATCGAGAGGAAAGCATAAGTCGTCTTTTAATTTAAAAGAATATTGGCTATGAAAATAATATTCGATTAAAATCATTGGATAATAGGATATACATATATATTTAAAGCTCCGAACGGATACAGAAACACGTGATCGAAAATTATATCATAGTGCGTAGACCTTCGCTTCGCTCCAGTCAATTACAAAAAAGATTCGTTGTATCACCAATCATCTGATTTGAATTCATTTGAGTGATAGAACTCAAGTTTATTTTTGAATTGGTTAGAACTTTTTTTTTTTTTTAAAAATCAAAATAATCAAAAACCTACCGAACAAGTTAATTGCAAAATTTGGTCTTTTCTTTTTTAAATGGACCGTCCTTAGTGTTAAGGGCACTTGGGTTATGTTCCAAGCAAATGAAAACATATAATCAAATGATGAAGAAATCGGACAAGATATTTGATAAATGAGTAACTTTAAAGAAATTGCAAACAACCTTATAATGAGTTGAGAACAAACCCATTTTGACCACATCTTATCTCTCGTGAAGGTGAAGTTGATTTTGATTATTAAGATCTTCAGTAATAATCTGAATTTTCTCTTAATTAAGAAGGATCATGTAAAGTTCGCCAATTCATTGTGAGAAAGCCACTAAATTTCAAAAAAAAAAAAGTAAGAGGAATACCAAAGAAATGAGAGTTGTCAAACATTGAATGAGTTGTGATTTATTTTTTTATGTTTCTAAGTAAGATCTAAAAATAATATTGTTTATTTCAAATTATAATATTTTAGATAATAAAATCCCGGGAATAACAATTTCTTCAATATAAATCCTCTCTTCTTCCGAATTATTTTCCATACCTACATTCTTAATATTTACACAAATACAATTGTTTTTTCCAGTATATTGATCATCAATTAATGTATCTACATATAACAATTTACCTGTATACATGTTATATAGAAAAATATTTGAATTCCATAAATTATGTTTTGATATATATGGTGTAACATTATAATTTCTATTGGTAAATTTTAGAATGAATTTTTGAGATAAAGGATCGTATGATGAGAAATTTATAATATATGATGATTGTACTAAGAAAGGAACTTCATTATATTGCGATAATATCTAAAGACAATAAGCTTAATTAGTAAATATCTCTTAGGGTAATTTATAAAGAAGACAAATAAATAAATAAATATTATTAAAAATATTTCATACCCGACACTTCAATTTATTCTCATAATGTAACTTAATTTCATCAATAAAAACTATTGGAATAATTTGATTCCATCGCTTACACGTTGTTCTTAAGTTTAAAAATTGTTTTATACTTGGAGAATATACATTAGTTAAATGAGTAAATTATTTAAATACATAATAAAAATTTTAAAAATTAATTACCTGTGTTCATGAAATAGCATGGTAAAGATGTCAATCAAAAGTTCGTTTGGTAATGTAATTGAAGTCATGATATGTAAATTTCTTGATTAAAGAAAAAAAATGGAACTTTTTAGCGTGAAAAAATTACGTGTACACAAATTACACAAAATTTTTCAGGGTCACGTTGGCAAAGTATCGGATGCAAAAGTGATCAGGGGTTATTTTCTTATATTCCTCTTATATCCGTACGACGTACCATATATGTACTGATAGAACCTACACAAAGGGTCAAATTATTACCAATCTTACAATAAATTCAAAAAAAAAAGTCAATTTGACAGTATTATCTGAACCTACTAATCTTGAAATATATAAATTTTAATATTTAGTTCGGATGAAAATAATTTTGATGATATTACCGAACCTGCTGATAAAACCATAAATCTTTAACTCACAAACCTTCTAAAAAATGCAATTTAATCGTAAAACAGCAAGAATGGTGTTTTTGAAGATTGGGATAATTATTAAGCAATAATTTACGCGAATTATAAAACAACAAAATTGGAATTATTACTTTCAAAATTGCTTGGAAGATTTTCCAAATATATTAAAGTTATTGAGTATTATTTATTATATTCCTTTTTCAAGCATGGAATGTGAAAGGGTTTCTCAGAGTAAAACTTGATTAAATCAGGTTTGCGAAATAATTTAAATAACGAAACCTTAAATTTGTTAATGTTGATAGGATTAGATGACAATGTAATCGATGAATTTAATTTAATAAAGATTTATTATGATCCTGTAAATTAATTCAAAACGGACATTTTTACACCCTGCCTACAAATGTGCTTATAAGAGAGGACAGGAAATTAAGATTTAACTTACCAAATGGTTTATTGTCAGGAGACGATACACCAAATTCTAAGTTTCACAGAACACAAAAATGTCTATCAAGAAACATACCACAAGCTCATTTGTCAAAAAAAATAATATTGTTACATTTCTAATTATTTTATTGTTGTTATTCGGGCTTGGATTATATAGAATATTATGTCTCCTCACTCTGGTCAAAGTGTCCTCTTAGCCATTATGTTCTGTCTTCTGGCAATATCTCCTTGTTGAATTTTAGATATAAATGATGGAAAAAAAGGAATGGAAATTTTATTAGAATTTTGGTTTAGATATTTCCCTAGAAGTTATTTTATTGGAACGATAACGAAGCCTGGATAATAATCGCCCGAAGTTTAAGGTGGTTTCTCACCTACAATTGATTAGAATTGATATTTTGCCATTATTATCAATCAATAAGTTTATAAATAACAAACGTATAATGGCCCCCGCTCTTACTGCGCCATCAAATAATGAACGGGGATCGATTTTTGGGTAAATCCATAACGCGGATCATTCGGATCGTACGCCACAATAATGTATTTGTGCTTATACAACAATATTTAAATTTTTTTACGACAATAGTTTGTTTTCAAATAGTTTAACCGGATTATTTCTATATAAATTCATTTTATTGAGGAGTCGTTTGTAAAATTTGTTCAAAGTTAAATCTGTTGCTTACAATCGTATTATTAGACATGTTCCTACCTTCACAAAATAACCATTCATCAAGAACATATCCAACATGTCGTATTTGTCTTAGTTGCGATGAACCAAAATCCTTAATTGCTCCTTGTAAATGTAAAGGTACGTGGAATTATGAATTTATTTTCAGTAAAGTAATTTTTATTTTATTTTTTAATTTTTAAATTATTTATTATTAAAGGGACAGTGAAATATGTTCATAAAACGTGTTTAGATCAATGGAGAAGAAAATTGATATCGAATGGACGACCAAAGGAATTGGATATGTGTACAATGTGTAAATTCCATTATGTCGTAAGACTAAAATCAAAAATCGGAAGTATAATAATTCGACCAGGTAATGAATGTGATAATTGAAGTATTTATTTAGTCTTTTTTTTTCTCTTCTCAATATAATTAATTAAAATTTTCGTTATTAGAAATTCGATTTATTATAACTTGCATGTTAATTTTGATTATATTGTTCCCAAGTGGATATATAATGAAATTAATAATGTCGTTAACATCAAAAATACATTTACAACGAGGTGAACTAGGTGATGAATTTAATAAAACAACAACATCAACCATATTATGGACATCATATCATTTTCCATTTTGCTCAACAGTAGCAGCTAATAAGATGATTTTAAAAGATTATTCCTCACTCATAACTGATTTTTGGACTAGACTGATGTGTATAGATATAATACAACATCTTCATTTAGGTTTATTTTTTCTTGGATCAACTAGTAATGTTGTTACCGCTTACTACATAATGAATGAATTATTGAATTTATTCCATTATAATAGTGGAATCGGAAGAGCTGAAGGAAAAAGCAAGGAAATTATTTTGTGGGGAAGTTGTAGTGTGGTAATTTTATTTTGGTTTCATTATAGTTTATCTGCATTCCAAGTGACGACAACTCAGGTATTTTTATTTTTATTTTATTTTTTTTTTTTTAAAAAAAAAAATATAAATATTCATGAAATTATTTCTTACTTATCAACTTGAAAAAAATTTCCTTTTTTTATTAGGAATTTTTACATGAATTGCCGTTATGGGTGTTGAGATGGGTTACAATTAGTATGGCTGTATTTGATTTTGGATTAAGAAGGATTTATTGGCAATTAAATAAGATTAATCTTGATGAAGTGGAAGTTTTGTCGATACAAAAAATGGATTTTAATGAAATCTAATTATAACTTGTTGAGATATTATTTTGTTTTTTCACAAGTGATTCAAGAACAATTTTTTTTTTGATTTTATTGTATATAAATCGTCAATTATCTATGTATTTTAACTAATTCTTAAAGAACAATTTTCCAAAAAAAATGATATAATTTCTCTTATAAAAACGTTGACTTTTTTTTGATCTAGTTAAAAATGAGAATCTTAAATCTTGGTATACTGGTTATATTAGTTAGATTTTTTATTTTCTTTCCCTTTAATTAATTCACGTTCTCTTTGGCTCTTTAATAATGCATCGTAAGCGACAGAATCCGTGTTCCAGTTTATTTTTTTTGTCAGCGTTAATAAAGAAGAAAATTTTGTTTTAATACTTTCATAATCATTTCGAATTATTAAATAAAAAAATATATATATAATGTTTGATCAAATTTACATTACTGAGATTTTTATTCTGACAAAATGAATATATAATATAAAAAATATATATTAGAAACAATATTTATATAGAAAAAATTTTTTTTTTTTAAAAAAAATGCATCATCCTTTTAAGGTTAAACTTGATTTATTGTATTCTTTTCTGCCACCTCTTCTTCAACATTCTTCTTCCTTTCTTTCTTTGAACAAATAACCCAAGCCTCACCATCTAACTGATTAGAACTATTTTTCAAAATTCCACTTCCAATACTTGCGTTTTGCTTACTACAATTATAAAATATGACATTCTTTTTCTCATTATCAAAATAAGTAATTACACAAGAAACAAAAAGATACGGGAATATATTAAGAGCAACCCTAATTATGTTTGCATTTTTAGCTTTCATTAAAAGCATTTTTTCAGGTTTATCTAATGACTCCTTATTTATTAACGACAAATTTAACAATAAAACTGTCGCTGCCAAAATAGCCGTCCAATAAACCATAGAAGAATTTAATGGACGTCGTGCGGACAATATATTTGTTGTTGAAGTCGTGGAAGTGCCAGCGTTATTTGTCGTTTTTGTTTCACATGTTGTTGGAGCTTCCATAGTAATGTTACGATTTTTTTTCAATTTTAGGTAGATGAGTTTAATTATCACGTGTATTAGCATCGTATTCTCTAGAATGTTTTTGGGCAGTTCTAGCTCAACAATAATTTTATGTGTAAATAACATTTCACATTGATTCGTAGGAACTTGATTGGGAAAATTCATTAGAATTGATACAGGTTGAACGAATATAAATGTTGGAATCTACACGATAAAATATAAGTCAGGTCACGGGAATTATGACGTAACGAACCTTGCGCAGCAAAAAAAAAACCAAATGACTTACGATCAGGGAAGTTCGTATTAGGAGGAACGTGATACCAATCCAAAGATCCTTTCTCTCGTAAGACATTCGATAAAGGGTCCATAACATGAAAGCGAATAAAGATAAACGGAATAAATGATATGAAATTAAGTATAAATATCCCAACGTTTTACAAGATGTAGAAGTTACGTCCGATGGAGTCAAGAAATATCCGATTGAAATTAAGAATCTACACAAGTTTCCGTAATTACAAATAAAGCGAAGTATATCTGATGTTTTCCCATAATTCCGACGGAAATATTTTTTTATGGAAAGATAAGTGTGTTGAAAGGTTACCTACATGTGAATAAGGAAGAAATTGTATAAACTTATAAATGAAAATGTATGAATGAAACTTTAAAAAAAAATATATATAAATAACTGATAAATGTTTCAAAAGAAAAAAAAATTCCTTACCATGGCCCCAAGACCAAGTAAAAACACCATAAGGTAATTCTGCACAATAATCTCCATAGTTTTGAATAATTAATTCACCTCGTTTGTAAAGGTAAAAAAAAAAAATTTTTGAAAATAAAAAAAAAATAGGTCACAAGAGAACAAAGAAAAAAAATAAAGATAGCGCGAAAAAAAAAGTAATCCCACTACTGAAACAAGAATTCATTGTTTCTTTTATATTAAGCCAAGTGTATTTAAAAAAAAAATGGCATCGTACATACAATGTACAATAAAAGCTTCAATTCGTAATCGAACATGTTTCGTTTTAGAATGATAATAATAAATTCATTGTAAAATCACAATGAAATGTTAAATATAACCACCACCTTCCCCATTAATTATATGCTGCGCCTGCTATTTTCTACCGATTTCTTCCTAAACATCAATTCCATACTTTTTTATTGTTATAAATATTTATTGATTAGTAACAGATTCACAAATATCAAAAATAGATACGAATTCTATATTTATGCTATGTCAAAAAAAAAGAAATTCAAAAGAATTTAAGTTAATTCCGGTCAGAAAAATAGAATAATGCATCAAGGTGATCATTTATAAATGCAAATAAAAAAAACAATGAATGCATGACAACCAAGAATTTCCAAATGAAAATTAATAACGTAATATCTTTACTAACTTGGAAATCTTAAAGCAATCGTTTTATTTAACCTTGTTTTGCGGTTATAATGATTATGCGGTTTAAGAAAGAATGTTGATTATCAGACTTTTTAGTCAGCTGAAGAAAAAAAACGAATTTGCCTTATCTTTTTAACAAAGAATTTAATTTATTCATCATTATTATTGATCTTCTCAATAATGGTAAGTGTGAAATTTTGCTAGGAGAGAATGGATTAAAAAAATCCCGACTTCCGACTATTAGACAATAGATAAATACAATATCTATGAATAGGATCAAATTAATTTTAACCCTTCTATATATGGAAATCTCCCCTTCAAAATGTAGATATTGTAAGAATTATTTTATATTGTGGCGCGTTGATCATTCAGGTATGAAACCTGTCATTTTAAAAAGAAAATAAGGAATTTCCAAAATAAATAATCACGAAAAAGTGAATTTTAATGAGTCTCCTTAAAAATTCCTGTTTGACACAAGTATCTTTATGCAAGATTTGAAAGTGGGGGTTAAAAAAAAACTTGTTTATTTTTACATTTGCATACTTTTTTTTTTAAAAAAGAAAAAGAAAAAAGAATTAGGTAGTAGTGTAAAGCTTCCACGTAACAATTGTATTTTTATTTAATGCAAAGAAAAAAATTTTGTTTGTGTTTGGAATTTATATAATATTATAAGCGCATTTGCACATTTTTATTATTCTAATGCGAAAGTTCGAATTTTCGGAAAATAATATCCGACACGTGCATTAGCTGACAGATTATATTTACCCTAGTATCACCACAAAATAATTTCACCCCCACTAATTTTTGGCCGGCATTATAGAGCTTGGCCAAAATTAATCATGTGACAAATAAGGTGGCAAATAGGAATTTTCACGGTCAATAGAAAAAAAATTTTGGACCAATTTGCTGATCTCGGTCATGTGAACAAAATAATTAACAATAAATTTTGTAAAAAACGAAAAAGTGGCGAGACAAATTCCTAAGGTCACGTTGGTGTGAAATTTTTTTTGTGGTAAATTCTGCTATCATCTTGTCGATCAATTCCTAAATTGATCATATAAATTTATCGAAAAAAACTGATTTTTTGATATAACCCAACACAAATTTTATATAACATTCATCATTACATCTTTTTAATGTATTTTTGCCTGCTCCGCAAGTTCAATTGGAACAAAAAAGATTATTTTAAATGCAATTTTTGACTTTTTATATGTTATTTTTAAATAATTAATTTTCTAAAAAAAAAATGCATTTAAAACCTTCTTTAGAGTAGGCAAAGTAGAAGCTGTATACAGTTTATATTAAGTCATTCAAAAAATAAAAATTTCCGTTAAATTTAGGCTATACATATGGAAATGATCGACAAGGTGAGCAGAATTTTGAGGTAGTTATGAAATCCTATTTGTCACATTATTTGTCACATGATTAATTTCGTGGGAATGAAAGATACTTGGGATAGTTTGACAAATTTGGGTTAGTTCTCAAGATCAAAATTTGCGATATCAAAGCTTTAAATTTCTGGAATTCGACTATTTTTTTATAGCTTCAAATTCATGTCAGATTTTAAACCAAGACTAACCGTATCTATTGATCGTTATAACAATTGATTTAGCAATAAATAGTAATTATTTTGTTTGTTTTTTTTTGATGATCAAACATCTTAAAATAAACGCCGAGAAACAAAAAAACAAAATAATTTATTTAACAAATTCTTACTTGGATAATGATAAATAATTCAATAAAATAAATTAACAAATTAAAAAATTATATTAAGAACTTGGATGGATCTTTAAAAGAAATAATGGACTAATTCTTGATGGTCTTTTTACCAATAAACCACTTTAAATGGCAGTCTCAAAACCTCCTGCAAAAATTTATCTTAATTTTAAATGACGGAACTTACCTGATAAAATGAACTCATAGTTCCCATGAAATGCTTTTATAAGTAACAAACATCATTATTGGTAAGTTATGTCGATCATAATTTAAAACATGTGATCGCAATTTTTAGGGGATATCCCTGTGTCATGAATCATCATCAACCGCAGCTAGCATTTATAAATATTACTATAAATATTTTTTAGATTTAACCATCTTAAATTTTTTTTTAAAAAAAAAAAAAAATTTAGCCGAAGATTCATCCAATATTAAAAGAAAAATATTTCTTTGTTTCTGTAAGTATTTTAGATTATAGCACTTCATTGTAGAATAGAAATGAGTCAAGCAGCAGCGGATGCTACTGATAGGAATGTGGAAATATGGAAAGTTAAAAAATTGATCAAAAGCTTGGAAGCTGCTAGGGGGTAAGTTTTAACTTATATATTTTATTGTTTTCCTCGTATTATTTTATAGCTCTATCTTACCAACGTAATTACTGGAATTTCGTAGAAATGGAACTTCTATGATATCTCTAATCATTCGTATGTTTAATATTAAATTACTTTTTGTAATAAATTGTGCTTAAGAGTATCTGATTAACTTGATGATTTATTCTTTATAGCACCCAAGGATCAAGTTTCACGTATAGCTAAAATGTTGGCAGACGAATACGGTACGGCTTCCAACATCAAGTCTCGTGTCAATCGTTTATCTGTGTTGGCTGCGATTACTTCAACACAACAGAGATTAAAATTATACACCAAAGGTATAATTTCCCTTTCTATCGACTATACTTGTAATCGAAATCTATGATTTTATCCTTATTCTAACGTAAATTACTTTATGATTCAAGTTCCAACCAATGGTCTCGTAGTTTATTGCGGCACAATTGTTACTGAAGAAGGAAAGGAGAAAAAAGTTAACATTGATTTCGAACCTTTTAAGCCCATTAATACTTCCTTGTATCTGTGTGATAACAAGTTTCATACTGAAGCTTTGTCAGAGTTGCTTGAATCTGATAACAAATTCGGATTTATTATTATGGACGGTAATGGAGCCTTATTCGGTACCTTAAGTGGTAACACTAGAGAAGTCATTCATAAATTTGCTGTTGAATTGCCAAAGAAACACGGTTTGTTTTTAACTTTTAATTATATTAATTTTATATGATGAGATCAATTGAATTAATAATATTTTCCGTTACAGGCAGAGGTGGTCAATCCGCTTTGCGTTTTGCACGTCTTCGTGAAGAAAAGCGACACAATTATGTTCGAAAGGTCGCTGAATTGGCAGTCCAGTTTTTTGTTACCAATGATAAGGTATATAATATAATTCATTATTTTTTTTAAAAAATTGAGAATGCGCTTCATTCATGTAATACTTTTAATTTAATCTTTTAGGTTAATGTCACCGGCCTTATCCTTGCTGGTTCTGCTGACTTTAAGACGGAACTATCTCAATCAGATATGTTTGATAATCGTCTCCAAACCAAGGTTATCAAATTAGTTGACGTTTCTTATGGAGGAGAAAATGGTTTTAACCAGGTATTGTAATTGAACTTAAATTTATTTTTATTTTTATTTTTTTCCTAATTTTTCATTAATATTATTATTATATTAGGCTATTGAACTTGCTGCCGAGAGTTTGGCTAATGTCAAATTCATTCAAGAAAAGAAACTCATTCAGAAATATTTTGACGAGATCTCTCAAGACACTGGAAAATATTGTTTTGGTGTTGATGATACCTTAAAAGGTTTGGAGTTGGGTGCTGTTGAAACTCTCATCGTTTGGGAAAATTTGGATGTTACTCGTTTTACTTTGAAGAATTCTTCTGGCAGTAAGTTTAATTTATTTTCTTCATGTCTAAAAGTGTGCCTAATATTAATAGATGTATTACGGATAATAATAACTAGTCGAGATCATTGTTCACGTGACTAAAGAGCAAGAAAAAGATCGGAGCCATTTCATTGATAAAGAAACCAATTTGGAAATGGAAGTTGCTGACAGGATACCACTTTTGGAGTGGTTCGCAGACCATTACAAGGATTTTGGTGCCAATTTAGAATTTGTTACCAATCGATCTCAAGAAGGTTCTCAATTCGTCAAGGGATTTGGTGGCATTGGCGGTTTGCTTCGTTATAAGGTCGATTTCGACACATTAAATTATGACAGTGAAGAAGACGGTTTCCTTTCTGGTGAGTGGCAATCGTAAATTAAACTTATGCTTAATACCAATTTGTTCTTTTTAGTTAACATTCTGTAAATAATCCATTTAGATTGACAATATACTGTTGATCATCCAAAAAGAGGCGTAGAGGGGATCGCGACCGGCTGCGTTCCGACCATCGGAGTTGTATTGCGTGGAGATGTCGTCGCTTGTAAAATAAGGTATATATATATTTTTTTTTTAAAAAAAAAAAAACCTATTTTCAGACAATCGTTCGGATTTATTAAAAAAAATTTTTTTTTTTCATTGTATTTAGATAATTGCCCGTATTAAGCAAAATCTAAATTCATTACTTTGCAAAAAAAAAAAAAAAAAAAACCACAAAAAAACAAAAAAAACCAACCCCCAAAAAAATTTCTTTTTTTTTTAACATGATCGTACCGGCCACCAACTTGAATGAATTAAATAATTGATATATTGCTCTTTGAATGTAATGTAATGTGGTTGTGATGTGAGAGTTTTCGTAAATCCCCTCATGTCTCTGCTTGGAAAAGGCTTTGAATGATGCTTTATGATTAATTTGCTCAAGCATGTTGTTTTAATGAATCAATCATGAATCAAACTATAAATATGGCCAACTTAATACCCCGATAGCGATCAAACAAAATCATAATCTCTTTTTGGAATTGATCATAATTGATGAAATTAAATTTTCAATTGGTTTTTTTTTTCATTTTCATTTACTTTTCATTTTCTTTTCTTATATCTTGGCTTAATTTTTTTTACCATTACTTTTGTTATCTAATAAAATTGTTCTTTTTGAGAGTAGAGTCAATTATTCAATTATTTATTTTTCACATATTATAAAGATTTAACTTACAACTTCCTAAAATGCACTCTGAAAGTGCACACTTTTATCTAATAATTAGGGATAACCAAATTGTCTAATCGATTATTCATTTCTGGCTAATTCGATTGATCCTAACTAATACAATCAATTGAATCCGGTTAATAGGATCCGATTAACTGATTAACAATTAGTATTTATGTCGAACTATTTATTAATAATTATTATTCTTCAGGTGGAATATATTTCCTTTCAACATGTATTAAATTTATTATTTCATCTTTAATACTTTGTTCAAATATATCCGATTAAACAAAACGCTTTGTTCTTTTGCATGACGATGTTTTACTACCATGTGTTTTGACTTTACTTAAATATTATATTCTTGATATCTATCATCATTAAAGATGATAAAAAAAAGTTTGTATTATAAATAATTCATCAATGTATTAAACATTATGTATTATATAAAAAATAAAAATGCGTTGGAAATAAAATTGATGGTGGTTTATAAATTCGTACAAAATAGAACTACTTCGTTTTATTTTGTCATATTTAATAATTTAATAATTGAAATTCGTCAATAATTTTAATAAAAACTTTATTTATATTATAACCATTTTTTAAACATTACGAAAACTTTATTTAATATACATTTTTGTTTAATACATTTAATCATAATTGTAATTTTTATACGAAAATGACCATAACATCTCATATGACAAGACCAAAGAACATAAAGATAAAAAATTACTTACATCCAATTAAAAATAACTTCCCATCTACTGCAGCCAGAACATTGCTATGGTTAGGTAAACTCCAAAACCCTTCAGGAAGCGAGAAGCCCAGGCCTGGAAATGGTTTTCCTGACACGTAAAAGAAGATACATAGCAATTTTCTCATATGAAAATGCAGACCCTTACCGAAAAAAAACCACATCTCAATAGGTTACCGCCGACCCCCTTCTGTCAGGCCGTACTTGAAGCCCAACAGAGTTGGCTCACACAACAAAAGTTGGCTACCCTAACAAAGTTGGCTAAACCTCCAAGTCGAGCTCTAGCTGCTATTACGTTCGTTCGTCACTTGGTCTAAACTATGAAGAAAAAAAAATAATATAAAAATAACAAAAACAAATAAAAAATTATACCGACATTGCCCTTTTTCCATTTCGCCGCTGTTCCGCTGTTGTATCTAATAAATAAATCATATTAAACGTTAATAAGTTAAGGGGTCAACACTAAAACTATTATTTTTTTGGTCTCGTCAATATGAGTTGTCGTTTTTTGTTCGAGAGAAAAAAAAAATAGTTTAATTTTTGGAACGCGTAATAAATGTGATTAAATATGGCAAAATCATATGACCAATTGATAAGTTTTTAACCAATAAAAATTTGCGATCAAAAATGCAGATTTTCAACTTTCTAAAATAAAAAGAAATATCTTGAATTAAGAAAATGAATAAATTTATAAATAACTATTGTTCTAAATGTATATTAAAAAAAAAAGTTGAAAACTTATGATATTCCGTAATATAGAAAATGGTAAAGGGAAATTAGCAAATAACGAAAGTGTTTTAATTCACATATTTGTTCGTAAATTTACGATGGAAATCACTTCGTAGAGAATCATTAATAAATTAATATAAAAACGGTATTTTATTTATTGAGAATTTACTAAAATATATGCTATGTACCCATAATATATTTTATTAAAATCATAAGCTGAAGAATTTCTTTTTTTATTTCCAAAATTCTTTTTTTCAAGTTACGATTTTTCTCAATCAACCCAAGCTTCATTATTTTTATGCCATGATTCAATCGATTCATTAGGATATTCGTCAAATTGAACAGCTTCCTCTGGAACGTGAGCCCAATCAGCTTTGTCTTTCAACATGATACAAATGATCTGTTTGGGTTTTGGGAGTGGAGTATCGATAGCTGAAGCGAATGGATAACACTGATTTTGTAAAAGAAGAAAACCATTATATACTGTATAAATAAAAGTTGTGAATAAAACGTGAAATGATTTGTAATGTTTTTACCCATTCAGGATATTGTTGATCATAAGCCCATAACATGCATCCGCATTCACCACAAAAATGTCGTTTATTCCCACTGTTAAAATTGGATGTTGTTATGTTGAAAAAAAAACAAATCGAATGAACTCTCATCTAAATAATGAATCCTTACCATTCTTCTTGTTTTTTTTTTGGTAATGATTTATCCCTAATACCTCGATAAGATCTAACAATTATAATTGATTATAAGCAAGAAAATTTATCAATTTACAAATAAAGTTTTACTTACTTTACATATTCCATACCCTTTACTTTCAAAGTGTCATTCTATTAATAAAACCAAATTATAAATTTAAATTTAAAAGATACAAAACACATTAATCCGTATGATACGTGCTTGTCCCATAATATTAATGGAGTATCCACCACCACCGTCAACTTTACGACAAATTGAACTAAAGAAAAAAATTTTTATTTTTAATGGCGAAGAAATAAAAACTCATTTAGTTGATAGTACAGACCAATAGCATCGCATAAAAGGTACTGGAGTATGTGACTTGACCTATGGAATCGAGAGACTTTAAATTTATAAATTTTTATCTAAAGATTTTAATTGTTTAATAATCACCGTAAATTTGACTTTCTCGCAATGACAGGATCCTTGTAATTCCATTTCTACACTGATTCAAGGATTGTCTGTGAAAATCCATACTTATAATGAATTTGTGCATTGGCGTGTTGGGCACAAAATGACTTTATTATTAGATTAAAATGACGATAAGATGAAATATTTTTTTTGACAATTTTTTTTTTTTTAAAAAAAAAAGGTAAGTTCGTTCGATAAAAACGAAAGTTCATTACATCCATTAAGAACAATTCACGTGTGATAAGGATCTTTTGTTTAAACTTAATATCCCAGCCTCATATTTGTGTCTAAAACCTTCCTTAAATAGGTAATAATATTAATTAATTGTTTTGTTTTCTCACTCAAATAATTGGGCTGAGGACATACATACATACGTGTGTTGATATGGTATAAATACTTTCGAATCTATTCAAAAACATACATTAACATACATTCGATATGGTAAATATTTTTCATATTACTGTTGTTTTAGTAAATTACTTCATCTAATTGAATAATTTTTTAAAAGGGAGGTATTGGAGTCATTGACATCGGAAGTAATGGTATCAGATTTGGTTTGGTATCAGAATTGACTCGACATTTACCTGTTATCTATGAAGAACGTGCTCCAATTTCGTTATTCGAAGCACAATATTCCACACAATCCGACGAACGTATAGACATTCCTGAAAGTGTAATTGTAGATATCGAAAATTCTTTGAAACGATTTAAATTTATTGCTCATCAACATCATGTCAATCACGATAATGTTCATGTGATCGCTACGGAAGCAACCCGAACTGCACCCAATTCTAAACAGTTTATTGATAGAATAAAGCAAGCCACGGGATGGGAAATTGAATTGTTGGGTAAAGAGGATGAAGCTAAAATTTCTGGAATGGGCATCATTTCTACTTTTTATGGAGTTGAAGGTTTAGTCATGGATATGGGTGGCGGATCGGTGGAATTTAATTACGTGACTCATCGACCTTATGAAATGGAACAATCAATCCAAATGTCCGATGATCCAATTAATCTTCCTTATGGTGCTGCTGCTTTAACTCAATTATTAATAACCAATAATACTCCTGAGAAACGGGATGTTCTATTCAAAAAAATTGTAAAGGAATTAAAAGAAGGTTTCGAAAAATTAAAGGCACCTGAAGCGATCAAGGCGGAAGATGGTTCTTTTACGGTTTACATGAGCGGAGGTGGACTTAGATCTTTGGGTTATTTAAGTATGTCAGAGTCCGGCCGCAAATCCAATTATCCTATTCCCATAATTAACGGTTATGTTGCGTCCGCCGAAGAACTTGTCAAATCTATTAAGCAAATCACTCCCAATCATGACGTTACCGTTGTGGAGCCTCTATCAGAGAGAGATAAACCTATATTTCCAGATGGTAATCCTTTCCGGATTGGCAATAGACGTGCAAAACTTCTTCCTGCATGCGCTTTCTTATTGGAAGTTATTATGGAAGTGATCAATGTGCGACGTGTTTATTTTTGTGAAGGGGGAGTTCGACAAGGATATTGCTTCTACAAATTACCGAAATCAGAACGATCAGTTGATCCGCTAGCATCTTTTATCAAATCTCATCCACTTCAACCAGAATATCTTAAAAAATCAAATTTTCATAGAAAGTTACTAGAACATGTTAAAACAGCAATCCCATCTATTGCATATGAAATCCTTGATTCAGATCTTCCTTCAGGGAATTCTAAAAAGCCGAAAAGGCTTGAACGTCTCTTGCCAATATTAATTGATCTCTCGTTTTGGACCATGCATTTTGCAAAAGAAGCTCGACCTATCGCGGCATTTCAATTATCACTTGCTGGAGGTGCTCTTGCTAATGCACCTGGTCTTACGCATATTGACAGAGCAATCATAGCTTGGTGTTTAATGTATCGATATAATGAAGACGGAAGCAGTACTAAAAACGGAGGCGTAGAAGGAGATATTAGTATAATGTGCCCCGGTATATTTGGTGGCGTGAAAAAATTGATTCCAGGTGGAAAAGATGGAAGAAAAATTTGCGAAATCGTGGGAATTTTAATTGGGTTCGTTATATTATGCTATCCAGTTGGTGATGAACGAATCTTAAAGGATGAAAAGTTAATGATCTTTGAAGCACCTAAAATTGATGAGGATAAAAAATACGAAATAAAATTGATTTTGACTGGGAAATTATCATCATCTAGTAAATCTAATGTTTATTTGATTAACAATCCAATTGTTAAACAAGCTAGTGAAAAATTAGATAAGAAATATAAATTAGGTAAGAATGAGAAAAATTTAACGGAAATCGTTATGAAAGTAGTAGAATCTGAAGATTCACCAAGGTCACCTGAATCACCAGAAACAAAGCCTGGTTTCTTTGGGAAATTTAAGAAATCAAATAAATAGTCATTCCTAATTTTGTTTACGTAAAATATCAAGTTCGAACTTTATATAATAAATCATGTTAATCGCAAACTCTTTTATCAAATAAAGTACTCGTAAAGTTTTCAAACGCTTCTAACAGGTGTGGATTTGATCAAGATTATCATTTTCACGTATCATGAAGCGAATATTAATTAGAAGAAACGTCGAACCCTCTATAGACAAGACGTCTCTTTGCATAATCCTTTGTGTCACATGCATTATTTATTTCAGAGTTTATGAAAAGATTCTGTTACTAGCAAAGGATACAATTCAAAAATTGTATATTTATTGGAAAAAATTTAAGTTCACGTGATTTACATGTATATATAAATAAATTATACAAATTAATAAAAATATATATTATGAAAAATGCTCAACTACGATAAAATACGATATAAAATTGTTCATAAATTAAAAAAAAAATAATAAATTGATTATCGAGTGTTTAAAATTCATTAGCTTGCTTTTGAATCTCTGCAATTTCCTTTATCTTGTCTGCCTCAGATTTTTTATCTGCGCCTTTTGCGATCATTTGATCATTTTTAACCAGTTTACCCAATTTTTGTTTCAAAGTTCCAACAGCTTTATCAATAGTAGCATTGACTTTATCTTTTCTAGTTATTTTATGGCCTTCAAGATCATCATTTGTTTCATCAGCTTGGTGACGTTCATCAACAGAACGATTGATTGGAGGTACATGAGGAGATGCATGATCTTTGGGAGGAACATTGGGAGTTGGATGATCTTTGGAAGGGACATGAGGAGTTGCATGATCTTTGGAAGGGACATGAGGAGTTGGATGATCTTTGGAAGGGACATGAGAAGTTGCATGACCTTTTGGACTGATTTCGTCAGTTGTTGGTTTATAAGGTAAAGGTGGTTGCTTATTCAGCGGTTTAACACCGAAATCTGTTGATTCGTGTTCCTTGTCTTGTTCACGTTTGTAGTCATGTTCGACTTTTGAATCGGCCCTTTGTTCGTTCTCTTTCTGTTTATTATAGTCACCAGTTAAATCAAATGTTTTATGAGATTTGGTACGCGTTTCAGGTAAAATTGCGTTTGGAAGAGCGACACCGTGATTTGACGATTCGTTTAGATCACCAGGTTTAAGAGTATGAGACGTGTCAACTTCTCCTTGAGGTTTTTCAGAAAATGGGTTAGAAGGTGAGTCTGATTTTTCTTGTGGGGTAGTATCTATAAGAGTTGAATAATTAAAATTTTAAATCTAATTTTTCTAACGTCATTCCGAAAAAGTATACTTACCACCAATAGGATTTGTGCCAACTCCACCTAAAGCAGACGAGCCTGACTCAGATATTTTAGCTTGATTTGCTTCATGGGGTTTATCTAAAAGAAAATAAAAGATATGAATAAAGTTAATATGGTTCTAAATCAATCGATTATTTTTATTTTTTATCCTTGAAAGGGAATACGCTTACCACCAAAAGGATTTGAGCCAATAACACTACCTAAAGCGGATGAACCTATATTTGATACTTTTGTTAAAAAGCTCTCATCATTAGGACTAGTTTGAGATACATTACGGGGCGATGAAAGGTTTGGTTGATTCTGTGAAGGACTATGTTGTCCTTCCGTGGATCTATCTAAAAGAATTCGAGATAAAATATTAAATAAATATTATTTTGCCACTTTCGAAGAATAATGAATGTAATTTTTTATAATTTATATACATACCACCAGATGAGCCAACAACACTACCCAAAGCAGATGAGCCCATATTTTTTGCTTTTGTTATAATGTTCTCATCATTACGGTTAGGATTAGATTGAGATTCAGTATGGTCCGATGGAGATCTATGTTGGCCTTTCGCAGCTTTATCTACAAGAACCAAGATAAGTTAAATATGTATGTTAAAATATCGCCTCTCCTTAAAGTATGAATTCATTATATTTACCATCAGACTGATTTGAGCCAACAACACTACCCAATGCGGATGAGCCCATGTTTGTAACTTTTGTTAGGATGCTCTCATCGTTATGTTTAGGATTAGGTTGGTCTTTCGCGGCTGTATCTAAAAGAATCCGAGATAAAAATAATGTTAATTATATAAAAAAAATATTTTTTTTAAATGAATGAATTCATTATAACTTACCACCGGAAGGGTTTGAGCCAACAACACTACCCAAAGCGGATGAGCCCATATTTGTTACTTTTGTTAGAATGCTTTCATCATTATGGTTAGGACCATGTTGATTATGTTGATCTTCAGTGGATCTATCTAAAAGAATCAGAGATAAAATAATGTTAACCTGATTGTTAAATATTGTTAAAGAACTGAATTTATTATACTTACCACCAGAAGGAGTTGATCCAACAACACTACCCAAAGCAGATGAGCCCTTATTTGTTACTTTTGTTAGAATGCTCTCATCATTACGGTTAGTATTAGATTGGGATTCTGTAAGATTAGGTTGTTTCGATGAAGGACTGGTTTGGTCTTTCGCGGTTGTATCTAAAAAATGCCAATAAAATATTAATCCAAAAATCAAATATTCGTGTATTCTATCGATTAATTATTAATTATACTTTACCACCGGAAGGATTTGACCCAACAACACTACCCAAAGCGGATGAACCCATGTTTGTTACTTTTGTTAAAATGCTCTCATCATTCTTGTTAGGATTAGTTTGGGATTCCGTATGAGTCGATGAAAGATTAGGTTGGTTCGATGAAGGACTATGATGGTCTTTCGCGGTTGTATCTAAAAGGTGCCAATAAAACATTAATCAAATCAAATTATCGTGTATCCTATCGAATAATTATTAATTATACTTTACCACCGGAAGGATTTGATCCAACAACACTACCCAAAGCGGATGAGCCCATGTTTGTTACTTTTGTTAGAATGCTCTCATCGTGTTGGTTTGATGAAGTATTGGTTTGATCATTCGAGGTTTTATCTATGAAATCAAAAAATTTTTTTTTAATTTTTTTTATTCTGAATAATTATGATTCTTACATCGAATGAATTAAAATGGTACTGACCACTTGATCCAACAACACTACCAAAAGCGGATGAGCCCATGTTTGTTACTTTTGTTAGAATGCTCTCATCATTTTTAGGTTGAGAATCAAACGGGGAAGATTGATTATTTTTATCTTGATCTGGTGTTGATGGATAACCTAGGTTAGAGGGGAAAAGGGTTAGGTTTTGTGGCGCAGCATCCGAGGATCAAAGAATTTCTCTACAGTACTTACCACCAGGAATAAATTCAGAAGGTTTTGAAACGGATGTCATTTTTATTATTGATTTTGTTAAAATGATTTGATTTTTGGAATCTTATCGTCGCGTTCCTTATATATATATTTTTTTTTAATTTCTGCGGGCACTTCAATTACCAATTCCCTCATAAAAAAATGGTCATAATGATCGCATATACTGTAGATCATTGTGAAAAATGATAAACACCAATGTGTTATTGTTTTTTACGCCTCTTGAAGCGATGATGAGATAATAATTTATAATTTTCGTTAGTAAAAAAAATAAATTAACAAAATGTGACATACAAAACAAGGGGGTCATGAAGAGCTAAAAATTGGTTGTTCTCCTTCTTTGACAACTTTATAAAATTTGGGTCCCACCGTCATTAAAATTATTCTTGGCAACGGGCTTTTTTGTAATTCATGGGATCAACGTAACGTAATAAAAAGGAAGAAAAAAAAAATTTTTTTTTTCTTTCATTTTGAATTTCATCGCCACGATCATCCATCCACAATGCCAAAATCACCTCAAACAAAAAATTTTGTAGGAGAGAGATCAAATCAAAGGGAGATACTACAAGAAAAAGATGAACCTCATCAATCGGAAACAAACTTTTATAATAGAGAAATAGAAACCTCAGCGGTTCCAATGACAACTGGAGAACCAGGAATTTCTCGAGATTTTATGGATATTACAGATTCAATCACTACGGTTACTTCAAGACACGATATGCATGATATACAACAACCCGCCACTTCAGGATTTACATCTTTTAAACAGAGGAAGGAAGTTGATCAATTTGAAACTGACAAAGAGAAACAAGAGAAACTGGATAAGGAAAGAAAGGAGCAGGACGAAAAAGGCGATCATGAATCTCATACAAAAGAAATTTTGGATAAAGCTTTTTCAGGTGTTCAATTGGATAAAGATTTCCATCGGTAAATAAACAATAAACTTTGCATCTTTGAAAGATCGTATGATTCTTTTTTTAAAGAATAATTTTTTTGTTATAATGAATAGTGAATTGCAAGGACCATATGTGGATGATCACCAAAATCCCAGTGGACAAGTTATCGGAGCATATAGAAGTCAAAAAGGCGATCAAAATTTACCCTACATTGAATAATTGACCAGTAACAAAAAAAATAGTTATTATAATTCAATATGTTAAGGTTTATCATTCTAACTGGTTGAGAATACCAAGGTTCGTCGTTTAAATAATTTCAATGAGTTAAAAATGAAAGTTCTTGTTTGGGATTGGGATTAAAAAAGGTCTTATTTATTTTCTAGCAATTGATGACCCGAAACTTTGGATGTTTTTTCGAAAATTATTATACGTATTTTTATTATATTTGGCAACCCAATTCGGTTAATAAATAAACATTTTAATTTTTTCTCTCGAGCATAAGATTTATTTAACGTCAATTTACTATCGCTATGTAATCGGTTCTTCCAAGTTTAATAAATATTAATGTATCAAACTTAATTACTATTTTATCGATGCTCGTGGTATCTTTGCAAATCATTAAATTAATAATGTGAAAATTAATTTCTAATTAACAAATCTATGCTTTCACTTTTTTTATTTTTATTTTTTATTGCCAGGATTCTAAATATAAAAAGATATTGAAATTAATTGATTACCTTGTACTTCCGAGATTTCTTCTCGTTTAGAACTCTCGTTTTTCAGACATTTTTACAAAGCACTGACTTTAATAAATATTTTTTTTTTTGGCTATTTATTTTTTATTTTTTTTCTTATTAAATAAAAAAACCTACCCTTGAGCTCTTATATTTGGACCTTGTTTAATGGAAAGTCTAGTAGGACTGACTGCATTGATGTTTTTGCCGAATTTTAAAAAGACGTTCTGATGTTGGGGTTTAACATTTTTAATAAAAAACTTTTTTTTTTTATTTTTATTTTTTTTACTTTTTTTTTGATCCTGGGAAAACAAGACTTAAATAATCAAATATGAAAAAGTAATAATATCGGCATGTTCCAAAGGATTTAAAATACCACACATACTTGGTTTTAATAAATAATCATGTCATAATTTCATCCAGTCATTCCGTGCATAAATTCTTTTTTAGCACACAAATCAAAATTGTGAAGTGTTAATATATTATGTCGTACGTGTTAAACAAAACTGTTCGTCTTTAAAACATTTAAATATATTTAGAGAAAAAATGAAGCATTTCGTAGGAATTATTGTTGCTTTTCCTTTTTTGGACTAGGATAATTTGAATTTATTTATAAGGTTATTTTTTCTCTACAAAATATTTATGTTTTCCCCCTCTTCTTCTTACATTAAGTTCTCATCATACACTCATTTTTCTTATTATACTCTCCTTTACTCTCCTCTCCTATATTTGAAACCCTTGTTTTTTTTTGTTATTTACCATCTTTTTGGAGGGGACCTTTAACAATTTCCCTCCGTTTCCCAATTCGATCCCATCTAATATTCCGCTTATTATCCCCCAACTACAACCGAATCGAATTATCATCAAATCAAAATCCTTATTTTATTTATTTTCAAACTTTCGAATTTCAACATCTAACTCCTATAATTCATTATTAAATAATGAGAATAACCACAACGTATAGTGGTATCTTATTATTTCTTTTTATTTTAATCATATTTGTTGTTGATAATGGTAATTCACAAAAAGAACCTAAAGAAGTAGATACCGAAAAAGGAAAAGGTAAAACACCCATCGAACCCAAAGCAGCTGCCAAAGGAAAGGCCAAGGAACCTAAAGGAAAAGAAAATGGATCACTACCTAAAGTTCCACCCAATCCCAAGTCACCCATTGCTAAACTTTGTTCTGCTGGTAAAAAAAAATATATTCACTTATAAAAATATAAAAGAAAGGAAAGTTTTGCCTTGTTTATTATATAAATTCTTGAATGAAATATTTTTTTTTATAGATCCAAAGGTATTGACAGAAAAAAAGCTTGGAAAAGTAGAAGATGTTCCATTCAAGTAAATTTAACATGTTTTTCTTGTCCCCCCCCCCCCCCAGTTTCTAAACTAATGCCTTTGAAATTAATAGAGTTAACATTGGACTTAAAGAGGTTTATGAAGCACAAGGAAAAGATGTTAAAATAACGATTGAATGTAAAACTCCGATAGAAAACTTAATTATTTATGCTGACACAGTTTCAAAAGATCATGTTGGACAATGGAAAGAACAGAATGGATTGGCATTAGATCGTAAGTCCATCCTTGCCAAGTTTTTTTTTTTTTTTATAAAAAAAAATATTTTTTTTAACTTGTTTTTGTTGTTGTTGTTTAAAGCTTCATGTCCTGGGGACAAATATGGTACATTAATCAGCACAAAATCGCCACCAAAAATGATAGAATTATTATGGACACCACCATGGATAACAGGATATAATGATATAACATTTAAAGCAGCCGTATTTACAAAAACGGGATTTTCGAATTTTACATCAAATGTTTTTAAAGAATCTGGAACAAAAACAATTGATTCCGGTAAAAAATATCAATTAAATGATAATAGTAATAACAATGGTGAAGGGAAAGGTAAAGGAGGAGGTTTTGGTGCTTCTCCTGAAGGGGATGATGATGAAAAAAAGAGCAAGGATGTTAAAGGAGAAGAAAGCGCAAAAGTTGGAAATGGAAGTGAGATTGGAAAGAATTCGACTCAACAAACTTCAATTGCTCGTTCGATCATTTCTGATAAAAAAAATAATTTCATTAAATTGTTTTATAGCTTATTTGTAGCTGGATCTTTTAATTTATATTTAAGTTTCTAAATGCAAAATTGATGACAAAAATATATAAACCATAAAACGCGAAAGAGGAATCCTTTTCAAACATATATTACATAATTCGTAATCTTCAGTTAATCCATCTGAAGATTGTCCGGTTCAATTGTTTACCGTTGAGATTAACTGAAATTGGGATTTAGACCCGAGAACATAAATTATAGACTTTAATTATCATTATAAATTATTAATGAAAATAAAACGTTGAATAAGTCAAAAGAACCTAAATAAATAAAGCTAGAATGAATTTTACTTAATTTTCCCACGAGATTAAATATAAAATCAAATGGTTTACGGGTTAAATCTATCCGAAACCATTACGGAAACATTACACGGTGTTACCGAAACCCTAAAAGACATATATAAAATTATTAATCGATCTCGTAAAAATCATTTTGTATTTTTTTTTAAAAAAATATATATAAAACATTCCTCATTTTTATATTTTTTTTTTATATTTTTTTTTATTACATTTTTTTCACAATTTCAATTTCATAAAATCAATAAATCAATAATCAAACAATTACATATATTATAAATAAATGCCTATACGTCCTAGATTTGAAAATAATAGTGAGGCCGAACCACTTTTATCTTCTAAACCATGGTATAAAACGGCTTCGACATATTGGTTATTACCTGTATTTGCATTATATTCAATAACGTCTGGATTGGGCATATCAAGCAGAGTACAATTTTATTTGAAAACGGTATGTAATGATTATTATTCAGGACTACTTCCACCCAATTCCTTATCGCTCGATTCATCCGAGGATGATCCGTGTAACAATGCGGAAATACAAGCTATGGCGTCCCGATTTATGATGATTCTGAATTTATTTACCGCCAGTCCAGGTAATTAATTAATAGATCAATGATACGTTCACCTTACCCTTTATTTTTTTCGAAATGAATTCCGATCCCCATTACTTTTTCTATTTAGCCTTCTTCACCCTTGGACCGATTGGATCATTATCAGATAGAAAAGGACGTAGGATAAGCTTAATAATAGGCATCGCCGGATCACTTATTAGCACGTTAAACATATTATTGGTCGGTAACTTTTTAGAAAGTTTAGGATTATATTTCTTAGTAATTGGAGGATTTTTGGAGGGGTTAAGTGGGGGATTTTATACTCTAGCTGCGGCGAGTCATGCATACACAACGGATTGTACTCCTCCGACGCAAAGGTATATATATATATGATACTTGCTTTTCTGCGCCACCTCAATTTTCTGACGACGCCTTCTTACTTTTTAGGAGTGTGGTATTTGGTTGGTTACAAGGAGCGATGTATATAGGGATCGCATTAGGTCCGATGATAGGAGGATGGATAGTTGGGATCACAAAAAATATACTTTCAGTATTTTACGTTATGTTCGTGATATATTTCATGATATTCTTATTTTTCATTTTCATCTTACCCGAATCTTTAACAGCGGAGAGGTCATTAGCAAATTCAACAAATTATCAAGAAGGATTAAGATCAAAAGGTAACGGTAATGAAAAGAGATCGTGGATCAATCGATTCGTCTCTTTTGTTCACGGTATTTTCGAACCATTATCAATCTTTCTTACTAGTGAAACAAATCAAAGACAAGCAAATGATCATGTTGATAAAATCCCTATCATCGCTTCCAAACGTTCATTATTATCATTAATCATCATAAATATTTTATTGTCAATTGCTATGAATGGCATGCAATCTATATTTTTATTATATACGACATTAGTGTTCAAGTGGTCATTATTAGAACAAGGTTATGTCTTATTCATGATGGGTGCGACGAGAGTTTTCGTACTATTTGTTTTATTCCCCACTTTGTCTTCAAAGTTCAAAAGATCCTTTCGTTTAAAAAATAATGATGATCATGTTGATAACATTGTTGATAACGAACGAATCTTAATTATTGAAGATTTTCATAATAAAGGTGAAGAGATACAAATGAGAAAAGAGTTGGTATTTGAAGTTTGGATTATAAGGTTGGCATTATTGATCGATGCATTCGTTTATATTGCTTTCGGTCTAACAAAATCAAGTTTCGTATTTTATGGAGGTAAGCGTATTTTTTTTTAAAAAAAATTTTTTTTTTTTTTTTTTGTTTGTTTACTTCACTACAATTCTTCCATCTTAAATAGTCACAGCAACAGCATCATTAGCCGCGGTGGCAAATCCAATATTAAGGTCATTACAAACAAATTTAGTGGCCCCGTCAAAGATAGGCCAATTATTGGGTGCAATCGGCGTATTAGATTCGATAATTCGTGTAATTGCTCCCATTATATTTAATACTTTATATTCTATACTCGTCAAAACTTCTCCAAACCATATTTGGTATGTCGTAAGTGCTTCATTTATCATTGCTTGTTTATTCACTTTTGGTGTAGGTCCAAAAAGATAAATACTTAAGAAATCGACATTAAGACACAATCAGTAAATGATCGACGTGTGCGAAATTTTTAAAATAATAAATTTTTAAAAGAACAATATATTTTATAAACTCTTGTTTATTTATTTATTAGCCAAATCAATCCATTTTGTATAAAAAAATTTCTTTAAACAAATTTCTTTTCTTTCCTATTTATTATACCTACATTTTAAATCCTCACTTACCTATTATATTAATTAAAACCTCTTAACTAAGTCGTGAAAACCCCGAAAAAAAACAAAGCAAATGAAAAATTAGACGCTATTTACACGAATAAATTGAAAAGTGTAAAAGGAAAAAAAATAAAATAAAATTCCAATGCTACAATAATGACTCGCGAAAATTATTAAAGAAAAAAATAACCATCACTAAAATTTAAATGATAGAGAAATTACTCATTAATATTGTGTCTGTTTAGCTTCAACAGTTTGTTGTGCTTGCGGTTGTGATTGTTGAGGAATTTTGGATGATTGTTGATTTGATGATTGTGACGAAGAAGGATCATAATGATTTGTGAATGATGTCAATTGTTGCGGTGGTGGATGGGATTGTACTTTTTGTGATGGTAATGATTCATATGGATTGGGATATGTTGTTACATTATTCTGTTGATAGGTTTGCTGTTGTTGAGGAATTAAAGAATATTGAAATCCACCGGGAATAATTTGTTGTTGTGTATTGATATTGTTATTGTACTGAGTAGTACCAACATATTGTTGTTGCTGCTGTTGCAACATGACAGAGTTAGCGTCAAATTGTTGTTTTTGAACCTATTAAAAACAAAATATATAAATTTTTTTCCGAAGAAATTTTAAATAATTATTTTACATACCAATAAAGCCAACAATTCGTTGACACGAATCGTATTAGATCTTTGAGATGATTGTGACATATTGGTATTGGTATCGGTTTGATTCTTATCTGAATTAGAAGCTTGTACATTTTGATGGTTATTACCAGCACTAATCTCATTAACAATCGCATTTAAAAATGCGGGGTTCACGACGGGATTAACACCTGGGGTAATTCCTAAGGCATTATTATAAACTGTGTTGCTTAATACAGGTGCGACTTGAGTGTTCATCGTTGTACAATTAACTGAAGGTGTAAACGTTGCATGATTTTGCATTTGTGGCATTCCAACAAGTCCTGGATACAATGATACATTTGAATGTGGAACTTGGGTCGGCGCTTGTGGTTGGGATTGGGCCTGTGCGGTCACCTGAGCCAATTGTGTAGCCGCAATCATAGAAATCATCTGATGTGAATGAATCATATAATTTTAATTACAAAAGTTTTTTTAAAAGATATCATTCATTTCTAACAAACCTGTTGAACTTTGTTGGCTTGCTCCAAACGTTCCGTTTCCGACTTCATTATAGATAAATTATTAAAAAAATGAACATAAAAAAAATAAATATAAAGTTCGAATTCAAATGTATACCAATGGTCCAAAGTCAATGGCACTTTTTGATTCAGTTTTCATATTAGTGAATTGGGCTTGTGGTGTAACACGTTGATTTGGTGGTGAAGAATGTTGTGAAGATTGTGGTGAAGGAAAAGCTGATAAAGTAAACATTAAATTTAATTGGTTTTTTTTATATGGTATCGTTGATCTATTCGCGCATATTTACCTCCATTATATCCATTTTCAGGCGAATATTCGTGTGCATCTCGGGCTATTGCAATTGCAATTGTAAAGTCAGACAAATCATCAAAAAATCAATCAATTAAGAAATTTACTATTATACTGACCACAAGGATATCCATTTTCATGGTAACGTTGATTAATCTCACCAGCTAATGAATAAAGAAATGAATAAATGACCATTTGAGATAGATATATATATATAAAAATAAATATATATTTTTTTTTTGAATGTATTGCATTTGCTCACCAAGAAGTTGCGGGCTTAATCGATTAAGAAATTCTTCAACGTCAGCTGATCGGTTGACAAAATTTTCATCAGCATGTTCGTGAAATGGAATCCTTTCGAAATTATTAATATCTGTAGGACGTTTAAGTAACATTTCATTTCCTATCGAAAGGCGATTTATTATATTCCCCGCTCTTTGTCTTAAAAAATAGAAGATTGTATCAATATTGCGTTGATTGTTTTTTGAACTGATCAGAAAAAAAAAATAATAATAATATTAAGACTTACTTTGCAGATACGTCCCAAGCAAATTTACAATCAAAATGTCCTCCATTGTATTCAGCATTCAAGGTAGCATCATGAGCTCGTGTACATGCTCGACTATCCCAGAACTCTACAAACCGTTGACTGTCACAACAAAGAACATTAATATTATCCTAATAGGTTATAAGTATGTGGATAATTGATAGAAATATAATTACTTTGGATGAGTACGATATTCTCGAACGACTTTAACTTCCCCAAATTGTGAAAAATGGTGTATTAAGGCTTCATTATCAAGTGGAGCTTTTCCTTCTTTCAGAGTTATAAAGAGTGTACCCTAATCATTTAAAGAAATTATAAATCATACGACAATCTTTAAAACGATTATATATTATAATTAATTAAGCATGAATACCTGATTCTTGTCCCGATCACAATATATCATTTCTTCGTTCTCCTTTGGCAATGAATAATGTACATCGATCTGAAAATAAAACAAATGTTAATACGTATGTAAAAAAAAAGGTTACGCAGTTAAACTAATAATGGATCGAGTTTATTTACCTTGCGACCTCCAAATTCATAATTCTGCATTTCCACCTTTGCTTTTTCGGCAGCACGTATGTCATACTAAACAGGCATAAGGAATAAACGAAAGTTAATGAAATCATGATCACACGTTATCTTCTGAGTTAATCTGACTTTTGACGCGTCTCAAATGATGATATTGCAATAAATGTTGAAAGGATCAAGAACGGAAATGTCTTATAGTCTTATCAGATCCCAATCACGAATCTTACGTGAAATAAACGCGTCAAAAAATTAGAATCAAATCTATCTTTAATGAAAGTCATTAAGGCCGATTCGCCCATCTTAACTAAATTAGAGGTGCCATTCAAAAGTAATAAATATGACGACTTACAAAACTTAGAAATAACATTCCTCTCTTCTCAATTATATCAAAAATATCTCTTATCTCTCCATACTCTTCAAATTTCGATCGAACGAGTTCAGTTTTGGAACCATACTAATATTTGAAGTTAGAAAGAAAACATTATATAAATCTTTTGATCTAAAATGATTATACCTTAATTTTGATAGATGTTTATTAAAAACTCGGTTAACATAATCGTTTGGTCAATGAACTAAAATGATACCTGAATATTTCTAATGAATAGAGTTCGACAAGGACGTTCAAGTGCAAGACGCGCTTCAAGGAAAGCGGGATCATTCTTATTAAACTTAACATTATTATCTTGCACACTAGGTCCATTACCTATTAAACGACAACAATTCGAATATTAACAATGATAATTGCAAAAAAAATCTTAAAACCTTAAAGAAGTATCTTGGAGTGAGAACCGGTTGAATAAATGGGTGTGACGTATCAAGAAAAAAAATCGTCGAGAGAAGTTCAAACAACATTGATGCAATGAATACATTGGTCGAAACATTTAACGAACGGCTACGCTTAAGATAATAATAATAAGAATAATTTACCGTTTACAAAAAATTCAAACATATGAGGAGCTGGAGGAGGCTCGAAAGTTTTAGACTCGTCCCAAAAAGGACTTGGTGGCTGAAGACCGCGAAACTGTGGATTCCTATCAAATGGTATATTTCCACCTGGAACTCTTAAACTTTTTCCACGACCACGCATTTTACATTTCATGACATTGACATTACTAAGAGGTTTTCGTTCAGGATAAGGGTTATGACGTTCTCTAAGACGATCCATTTAATATAACTTTCTTATTAAGAGATATAATTGAGTTAGGGTACGAGGTAAAATTTGACAGGAATTATTTTGGCCGAGTGAGGGAAGAAAATTTTTAAAGTTTCGTTGAGAACTTCTTTTATATCAAGAATTATTTATAACCATGTACATAACCTTCCACAAGCTTACGCGAGGTTAACGCGAATAATTACACAAATTATAAAGGAAATCCGTCATTCACACTTTGCGCTAAAAGCACGAGTTTCATGAGGTGGCTTAGAAAAAGAATGTAGTCTATATCGAGTCTATCATGGAATGTTAAATTACTCATAAAGGATTAAATCGTACACATTATGATAGGGGTGATTTCTATATATAATCATATCTCAGCAGGAACAGAAATCAAGCGGGGAATTTTGATAAACCCATGATTGACTTAATTTTGACTTGGGAAATTCGAAACTTTATAAATATAAATTTCGTTCCTATAGCAACAAATAAATAAAAAAGTTTCAAAAAGGATCTACAATAAAGATGCAAGATCTTTTTTTATCATGAAATAATTTCCAAAAAAAGATGAATTTATTGCTTTTGTGCGATGCTGCGATTGTTGGAAAAAGTTTAATATAATAAATCGCATTTAAAATTTTTTTATCTTTAAAAATAAAAATTTGTGTTGTATGTTTATTTGAATGATTTGAATGATACGATTTGTCTATGGTAATTTTAAATTTTTCTTATTGATTTACAATGTAATAAATTTTTAATCTCGAATTATGATATAATGAATGATACATTGCGTGAAAAAAAAAAAAATACAGTAAAAATTAAAAATTAAACTTAGATGAATTTTTGTCGCGATAAAATAATGCAAACTGATAGATATATAAAATTTTAAATAAAGAATTAATATTATAGAATTATAAAAAATAAAAATATAAAAAATGATTAATTGATGATTTAAATCAAATATTATCTCATGAATATTTTATTTACCATGACATTCACTATTTTGTCATGGACCTGTGAGAAATAACATGATGATTTTCCTCTGTCTTCCTCGATAAGAAGTTATTTTTTTTGAACGCATTTGTTCTCAACAAGATTATAAAGATGAATCGTTTTAGTAAGGGGTGTGTTGATTGTTTGGACCGGAAGGATGACCAGAAGGATGATCACTAGGTAAAACTCCGTCTCTTTTCCATCCGCTCACTAATATCTTTATCTAACGGAAAATGGAAACAAATAAGATTAATCACAAACTACAAGAACCACATGTGGAAAGCATACATACTACGTAAGGCAACGGAACTGGTTTCGCCAGCTTTTTCTTTTCGTGAACCAATGAATCATATATCGAATGATAATTATTTGGCGTGATATTGGCCAATGCTGGATTATTACGGTTGGATGAAGGTCCCGAATTGTCAATGTTTCCTTTAATCCACATCTCTCGCCTCCTATTCCATAATTCTAAACCTTCATTAACATATTCTCCACTCGAACTACTACTACTACCAGCATCACCATTTTCCATCTTGGGCGTTTCCTCACCTTCCAATAATTCCGGATATATCGTTGCGCATGTCGTTTTAAGTGAGTTGTATAATGAAGTGATAGTTGGTTGTGTTGTAGCAAAAGGTTGGTGGTCTATACATTGTGAGTTTTGTAGATTTTTATGAGTTCCGACAATGTCATTATTAAACTGAGGTTTTGTAATTACGTTAAAATCGTTATTTTGAAAAGTGGAAATTTCGTCCACCTCGTTTTCACATGTAACGTCGGTAGAAGTTCGTTTTTCCATTTGAAAAAAAGAAAATTTCGTGCCCTGCTTTTATATTATCCTAAAAGGAATAAGCCTTCTCAAAAGATTTGAAAGCAAGAACACAAACACAATGCAACACAGAATACAACGAATATATTAGTTTTTTATAGTTATAAGGTAATACAACATTCATTTTATTTGTTGATCTGATTTGAAATCTGTTGTGTGCGCTGTCATTATGCCGTCACTATGAAAGTCTTGAACTAACTATTTTAACATACATATGTAATAAGACGCAAACATTTAACTTTCCTGACCGGACGATCAATGCAAATAATTTTAAGACACTAAAATAAGAAATATGATTTAAGGTTTTCACGATTCGGCCAATCAAAAATCGAATATAAATAAGCTCATTTAAGGATTCAATTCTGAAGTTGAACGAATTTTCGCTATGACAGCACGTCAAGCCTTTCGTTTTTGTTTTCAAACACCACCTGTTTTTAAAGACTTGTTTAATTCAACCTTGGTTACTCCATTTTTCCTTAAAAGAGTTAATTTGCTCAAAAACAACCATCTCGTCGATAAAAATAGTGTTATCCGTTATTTTACGACCACCTCAACGAAAAAAGCTGAAAATTCTGACGATTCGAATGATAGCAATAAAATCAGTTCTAAAGCAAGTTCCTTGGTACAGAGTTTCCTTCATGGCTCGCAAGCCATCCGTGAGGAAGAAAAACAAACCCACTCCAAGCTAATAGCGCGCGGAAAATATGTTCACGAATTGCAAAGTATAATTTTAATGCCAGAGATTTGTTAAAGAATTCAGTCGAAAATGAAAAGGTTTATTTTGCACATTTAAATAAAATTTAATCAAAAAGATACTCTTGTTTTTTTTTTATGGTTTAGAACACAAGATAAAACCTGAATGCGTTGAGGATTATATTAAACTTGTGTAAGCTTATTCGCTCATTCTTTTTATATTAATTTTCTAAAGTATGCACTAATTATTATCCATAAAGTTCCGAGCATTATCCACGCATTGCAAACGATCCGGAAAATTCGGTCCATTTATGTGGCAGTTGGCAAACAGAGATTGGAAATCTTGATACTTTCGGTAATTTTTTATTTCCTTAACGATCCATTTTTAACAAAAAAGATCTTGTAATTTTTACGAATTAACATTTTATCGATTACAGTCCATATCTGGGAGTACCAAGGGTACATTGGTTATGATGAGACTCGCAACCGACTTAAGAAGGACCACGTTTGTACCTTCGTTAATTTTTTTTTTCCTCCTAGTGTACTTTGTGAAACACGGAATTAATCTATCTTTGCTGTGCAGCTTTATCAGAAATTTATTAAAGAATTACGCCCTATGCTTCAAAGTCGGTATAATCAAGTTTGTCTTGAATTTGCTTTCTGGAAAACAAGTCCACCAGCTGTTAATGGAGGAATTTATGAATTGAGAACTTATGAACTCAAGGTGAGACTACTCAACCGCAACTCGATTTCATTAAATCATACCTTTAATAATTACATATTGATTATTTATCAGCCCGGTAATTTATTGGAATGGGAAACTCATTGGTAATTATAAAACGCGTTGCTAAGTTTAAAAATCATGTGCTAAGTTGTCTTCTAACTACTCTGTTTAGGGTTCGTGGACTTGAGTGTCGTAAACAATTTTGTGAACCTGTCGGCGCATGGTTTTGTCAATTGGTAAGTCCTCGAAATAACTTTGTAGTTCTTTTTGTAATGAGCGATAATATGATTAAAACAAATAATATTATTAATAATAATTTAAATCTCCAAACCTATATTAACAGGGAGCCTTAAACTTTGTACATCACATGTGGCAATATCCGTAAGTTTAACGAAGTTAATATTAATTTACGAATCCTCTCAAAGAATATTTTTCAATGTGGTATTTGCCTTTATAGTGACCTTGAAAATCGTAAAATAACTCGAGAACAAGCGTGGCAGGTGGATGGATGGGCCGAAACCGTCTATAAAACGGGTGCGAAATATATATTATATTTGTTATTTATTTGGTTAACTTAATTTATTATGCAAGTTATTGACTTGTTTATCTTGTTTGACAGTACGGTTGGTCCGTAAAATGGAAACGAACATTTTAACTCCTCTTTCATTTAGTCCACTTAGATAATAGTTAGTATGGGTAAAATAAATGGTTTTATTCGGAATAGGAAATAGCTTTTAGAGTGATAATTATTTAATAGCTGTTTATTTATAGATTATTATATGTTCGTAATACGGATATTGTTGATATATTTATTTATTTATTTATTTATTTTTTTGATCCTGGACCTTTAAGGAGGTGATCTTCATTCAATAAATAAAGTTCTTTAATTCTTAAGCGTTATCTAAACCTTGACTCTCGTCATCGACAGTTGACACATCGCCATCATTTCCATCACTCATGGTACCACTTTTTCTTAGTCCAAATTGCCTTGCTAGTCCCTCTCTTCGTTTCCTTTCCCTTCTTTCTTCCTTATGTTCCCAAGTCTTTCCAGTTTCTTTAGTGCATCTTTTAATTACATCTTCGCCACTTCCAATACCAGCGAAAAGATGGTCTTCGATCGTCTTATATAATTCATTTATTTTTCTTGAATTTTCATCAAATTTTCGATTACTCAACGTGGTTAGTAAATACAAATAAGACAAATCCACAAAAAGATATAATTTATGGTCTGTGGGATCTAAACGTGCGATAGGTGCGTCTAATTTCAGGGAACTTCGAATCACAACCATGTGTCTTTTTGTAGTTGTCAAAAGACCAGATTCACGATAACCAGTATCAATAGCTGAAATAACTAAGTTCTTGGCAGCATCCAACGTCCTTGCTTCTACATGTAGAATCTAAACAGATGAATAAAAAAAAAATAAAGATAAATAAAAATAAAAGCAATAAAGTACCAAGAAATAAATTTGGTTTTACTGACCATGGGTTCAAATTTGAAATAAATCATTCTATTATCATCATCTTTTAACAATTTATTATAATCATTATCATGATCGTTCAACGATATTACATTAACATGTTCGACGCCAAAAATAGTTTTCAACAAGAATTCATTTAATTTTTCTTTGTTATTCTCTTTTGGCAATTCTACGTGTGAATGAGTAACGTACAACCATTTCCCTCCACCTTTTGTTGAATATCTCAAGTCATCAACATCATTTACCTCTAATTCTTCGTCCTTAACGTTAGTATCAATTTCATCAATATCATCATGAATTTGATTATTAGAAGCATAAAATTTATTAGTATGTTTCTTAATTCCTTTACCAGCACAATAAATTGCAACTCTTCCAGAACAACTACTGGTTGTGACATAATCATCATGTCTATTCAATAATTCAATTAAAGGTAAAATTGCTTCATCAATAGACCCTTTCGGAGATTTATCTATTCTGGAAGAAGGATCTGTCGAAGTTAAAGAAGATAGTATTTGTTGTTTTCGAGTGTGAAATCCAGGATGCGTTGAATGATGTGCAGGAAGACGTTTAGTGGCCATGGATTGAAAATTATGAGAAGTCATATTTAATTCTTTTTGTGAATTTATCAAATGTAACGTCTTTGAGAAATTTGTACTATAAAGCTAAATGCGTTTAAAATAAATCTTAAACCCGAGAATTTTCTTTCTTCCCCTCTTTATTTTTAGTATATCCGTAAATTACACAAAACCAATTGGACTTTTTTAAATCAAATAAAAAAATGAATTTTTTTTTTGAAAAGAAAGAGAGAGAGAGAGAGAATTAGAGACGAATTGAATTATTTTGATTGGTAAATTTAATATTAATCATCTGCTACTATGTTTACATGATGTGGCGTGTGAAAATATTTAAAAATAAAATAACGTTTAATATGACCATTTATTATAGAATAGATTACTTTTGTTCATTAAGATATTTTGGGTAGATAACCCAATCAAGTTTTCACTCACAGTTAGATGATTCCAGCCAATCATGATTGCAGTACCGATTTTCATAAGATCGGGTATTGAATCAACATCTCGAAACACACCTTTTTCCACAAAATTGAGCACCAATTCAAAATTTGTCGCTCTCTTCAAAATCCTCCTCTCAATAAAAGAATTTAGGGTTCCAAGTCACATAAGATTATGGATTATTATGGGGAAAATAATGAGATTGATGAAGAAGTAGAGGAGGAAAACTTGGAAGAAGGCGACGAAGAGGAGGAGGTAAAGCTATATATATATATAAAATATATTTATTTATATTTATATATTGCTAATAAATTCTCTTAATAGGAAGGAGATGCATGGGACGATAGCGCATTAATTGCTGCTTGGGATCTCGCTGTAAAGGAATTTCAGGCAACTAGTCGTATTGAAGTCCTTGAAGTTATTAATTCTTCCAACTTCCTAAAACACATAACATTGAAATATGAATCATTTTTGTTTATTAACACGTTTCTACCCTATTTTTTTTTTCCCTACAGGATTTTCATAGTATCAAAGCGAACACCAGCAAATCAAGTGCGGAAAATGAAAACATATCCGATACAACGCCCGTTGCTTCAGAAAACGTTAAGTAAGAAAAAAAGTAATGATTATAATTTTTGATTTATAATTACATTATTAAATAATTAATGATAACTAAACAGTGCAGATATAATTGTTTTTGATTTTAGATTGGAGAGGTCAGTTAATATAACTGAAGAGAACACGTTCGAAAGTTTCGTGCAACCAGATACATTTGACGAAAGTGAAGATGCCACCACATCTGAATCCGTTAAGAAAGATATAATCAATGAACAAAAGCGAAACGTGCAAAAATCGCCTGAACCAAATGTCAAAGAAAAAAAACAGGCATATTTTGAGAATTTTATTTATTTTTTGACAAAGTAAATATAATAAAAAAAATATTCGAATTTCTTTCTTTAAATTTTATAGTCTAAACCGTCTAAACCTCAACCGGATAACGGTGCCAATGTTCATGATTCATTTTACGGTGATCAAGATCAATCATATGGTGCTTATTATTCTAATTATTATACACCGCCGCCACCACCACCACCAGGGCCACATCATCAATTTTATCCACCATATCCCCAGCCTACCGTAAATGTATGTTTATTTTTATATAAGATCTATCGTCGTTTTTTTTTAAAAAAAAAAATTTTTTTAAGGTTATTTTTTTTACCCAGGATCCCAATATTTCATTTCCTCCACCAAAGGTTTGACCAAAATTTTTTTTTCATATTGTGTTATTTATGTTATTCAACAATTTAAACATTACATTTTATAGGCACCAGTTCCAATTCCAGGATTTGGTACGTAGACATAAAGAATCGTTTTAAAAAAATATATATATTTTAAAAAATAATATTATTTAGATGATGAAGCATTGTCTAATTTAATAATGGCATGGTATTATTCCGGGTATTATACAGGTCTTTATCAGGTGAGTTGTTTAAGAGAAGAGAACATTTTTTTATGATAATGAAATAAGTATAAATAAATTTCTTTGTAGGGACGAAAGGGAAGGTGAGTTTTGTTTGAGGTGAATTATATCTTTACAATAAAATATGGGGAATTCAATCTTTTATATTTGTATGAATACGTTCTTTAATTATTAAAAATAAAAAAAATTAAAATTAAAATTAAAATTTACATTAAATTTATCGAACGAATAATTTTTAAACTATGCAGAAGCAAGAGCTAAAGGAGAAGGAACAGAGTTATTACTTGAAGTGGATATCTGAATATTATCATTAGAGCTTAAGGAAGCAGCTTTCTTTAAAATCCAATTAAGATAATCATCAATAATCATATCCTTATCATCTTCATGATGCACTAAAGAAATAAAATTGATAATAATAAAAAGTTAGACATTTGGCTTGATTTTATTATTTTGTGAATATTTTCACTTACTTTCATGATAAAGACCGGGCCATTCACGCCAAGTTTTATCCTGGGAAGGAAGTTTTCTAAATAATTCTCTTGCAGTGTCACAACAATTAATTGCATCATCGGTACCAAAACAGATATAAATTGGTAATGTAATATTCTTATATTTTTCTTTTGAAATTGTTCTTACACCAAAAATCACATCACCAAGACCACGTAATGAACCAATACTACGAATCAAAGGATCGTTTTTATATTTTTCAACTTCGTCTGGATTTCTGCTGATATAATTTTCATCCAGGTTGATGGGAACAACTAAATTAGGCATAAGTTTTGATACCACATTACCTAGAGTAATGGTTGGTTTTCGTATTTTTGATTTGGGAGCTAATTCAATTAAAGGAGATGATAAGACGATACCGGCTATATTATTTCTTTCTGGGCCATCAGAAGCATAATTAGCGGAAAGCCCGCCTCCCATACTATGACCAAATAAAAATTGAGGAATACCCGGACGTCTATTCATAATAAGGAAACTAGTTATATCTTCGGTGACAACTTTCCAGCCACCAGTGTGACCAGGGTTTTTATTACGAACAGCAGTTTGACCAAATCCACGTTGATCAAAACCAAAAACTTCAACTCCTTTTATAGCAAACTTTGCAAATACATAGTTATAACGGTTAACATGTTCACCGAATCCGTGTAAAGCTATGACAGTTGCAACTGGGGGATTAATGACAGACTATTAAAAATGAAAGAAAAAAAAATTAACTTTGATCTGGAGAAAAAAATGTACTAACTATATAATTTACCTTCCATGTCTTTGTGTATATTTCCACACCATCGGCCATTTTTGCCCAGTTTTCAACAGTTCTAACATAATTTGATTGAATATCTGCAGACATTTTATTATTATTATTATTTCGTAAGGAAAAAAAATTCAAAAGAATTTTATAATTTATTTGCTTTTTTTTTCTTTTTTATTTTTTGAAGAAATTCGATGCATTTATATAAATGATGTATAAATTGAGTTTCACGTGTCAAATTGTCACATTTTTAACGTAATATCATGAAAAGATCGTGAAAAGGTAACTCCTTACCCTTTTTTTTTGAACTCCGAGCTGATCTAATTTGTATCAGTATTAAATGACAGTAAAAAAAACAAAGAATTTTTAAAATATTTAAGGAAATCGGATATTACTTCTATAAATGAACAAAGCTATTTTCAGGTGTCATTTTTTAAACCAACCTATACTGAGCAGATTGTCATAATAATGTTTTGGTTTATTATGAAAATAAGAAATTATATTTTTGAAGTAAATTTCGTGTAACATATAAATTAACTTAAATCGATATTCAAAATAGATAAGTTATTTAATTTATAACAAGGGTAAAAATCAATCATGATTTGTCATTGATATTTCTTTCAGATCAGATTGGTCCACATCTAATCTGATCTAACCAAAATTTTCAAATGTCAAATAATTATATAGCAAAATGATATAGCAAAAATGATCCTTTTGTAAATTATGGATTTTTTTATTAAAAAAATCCAAAAAATCCATAAATCGATTAACATGATCAACGATTAACTAATTTTTTAAAAAAATTCCATTATTTGATTCATTTTAATAATGAGTATAAACATTATAATCTTTGATTACTAATCATTAACTAAATAAATGGGCAATTTTATTTTGATTTACCTAATTTAAATCAGATTAGATTAAATATTATCTCAACCTATTATAAAAACTTTTAGATTTTAGTGTTTTGAATAGTTAAAGAATATATTGAAGAATATATAGTAAAAAAATATTAATGATAAAAGATTAAAAAATAATTAAATTTTATAATTAATATGATATTTTTTAATATAAATTAAAATTAATAATAATAAACTTTATAATGAATATACTTAATCAATTAAATTATTTTTTTTATTTTTTTTTATTTTTATTATAAATATAAAAAATTTGATTTAATATTATTAATTTATTAAATAAAACTAAAAAATCAAAAATTGTTAAAAAAATTCAAATTATTCAATATAAATTTATTTGAATAATACAATTTGATATAATTTGTTAGTTTACAATTTTATGAAAGTAACATATATAGTGACTTTTATAATTAATTATTATATCACTTTTTTTATAATTATTGTATAACATGTAAAATTTAATTAATCTATCATAATTTTTAAAATATTTTTAACTTGATCTATGAAAATCAGATCAGATTATTAAATTAAACAAGCAACCTAAAGTATTTTGACATAATAGTAAATTTTAATACATAATATAGTAAGTAAGTATAATCTAACTTAAAAATAATATAATAAATTTATAAACTTTTTGTAATATAATATTTATCATATAGGAGCTTTACAGTATAGAAAGATACAAAACTCTAAAAAAATTTTTTTTAAATTAATATTATATCTTAATTTATTTTACTAAAAAATCATATTTAACTTATAAAGTAAATTTTAAATTTTTTTAGTATTTTATACTTTTCTATTATAAAATGCTTATATATTATAAACTATAGTATCTTTTATATATTATAATTCTCTTTTTATCTGAAAATGTTACATTATCTATTTTTTTTATTAGAAATCTAATTTTGTCTAGAAATTCTAAATAAACTATCTTCTGATTATTATATAAGTCTTTTAAATACATTCATTTATAATAAAATTCAAGTTATAAAATTAATAATACAATCATTCAAAATTTGTAGGATACTATAACCTGTAATATATAGTATAAAATAATATTTATAAATTATAAATTATATAGCTATTATTCATATAGGAGGTTTGTTAGGAAAATAGGACTATAAGCATTTTTTATTAAAATTTTAATATATGTTATATTTTAATCTAACATTATCAAAAATTAAAATGCAATAAAAATTTCTTAAATCCCTATTTTCCTAGCAAACCTTCCAAACCTTCCATATGTTTAACTATTGCATATATAAAATAAAATAAATTTTATTAAAAATAAAAATATTTATTTAAGAAAAAAAAAATTAAAGATTAATAAAAAAAATAATTAGAAGATTAATATCAGGCTAAAAGAAATCTAATTTTATTATTTTAATAATTATAATGTATTCTATTTATATAAAATCAAATATAATTGAATTCTTTATAACCACCTTTTATATTAAAAACTTTAATGAAATTTATTAGAATTGAAAGTTCTATTACAAAAAATTGGAAGTATTAGAAAATACTGATCTTTCAATATTTTATGTGTATTGGAAACTTTTAATCAAAATTTTTGGATGTTGGATATAGTTATTGGAAATTTCTATAAAAGTTTCTAATACTTTCTATAATTGATATATTAAAAATCAGAGTTTTTCTGATAATTTTAAATATGTAACACAATTTTAAAAATGTAATACTTATTTATACTTAATTTTTACAAATTTTTCTAAGCAGTTTTTTTTTTATTGAAGAAAATTTAATATGTAATAAACTGTATAATTTTAAATAAAAAAAGAATTTTTCAACTTTCAAAATATAAGAAAATTTAAATTTATAGATTTATATTACTTTTTCAAATAAAATCTATATTAATTTATTATATTTAATAATGTGTCCTAATTTTTCCTTTTTTAGTATTTCTATTAAACATTTATCATTATTTCTGATGTCAAAATTAGTAAATTTAATAATTTATTTTTTGATTTTATTTTTTATTGTTTTTTGTTTGAATAATAAAAAATCAAAAACTCATTATCTTACTAAGTATATAAAAGTTCTTAAAAATAAAACACATGTAATAATTATGCAAATATGTATTAGTTTAAAAAATTGGATAGGAATAAACTTTTAAAAAATACATTTACAAATAAAAAACTGCAAGTTAAAAATCATTTAAAAAACTTTTCACATTTTTGAGAAAAAATTAGAAACCAAAAGAATTAGATAATACTATAAACTTAACAGATAATGAAACAGAAGAAGATCAAAACATCAAATAATGAATGATAATTCTGATAAAAATAATAAAAAAGGTTTAACATAATTAAAATTTTTATAGTATAGTTCTAACATTAAGTTCTAAATTTTAAATTTTAAACTAATAAAAGAAGTGGTTTCAATAATGTTATTTGAATTATTTATATCAATATTATTAGAATCAGAAAAAAATACAATTAAAAATAATCTCATTCATAAGGCAATTCGATTTGATATTTGAATATTTGATTTGATTCAATCAAATTCAATCAAAGAATAATTTATTTGATCAAATCCAAATTAATCTTTAATTTAATTCAATTAAATTCAAATCAAATATTCAAATATTTGATTTGATTCAAATCAATAGTAAAGTTATCTCTAAAGCTTTCTAGGTGATATATATTTACTAAGAAAATATAGTAAAAAGTATTTCTATAGCTTTAGAAATTAGAAATGCTTTTTTTATTAAGAAAATTATAGTAAAAAGCACTTCTGCAGATTCAAAAATAGCTTTTTACTAAGAAAACTATAATAAAAAAGCATTTCTACAGCTTTAAAATGGTTTTTTACTAAGAAAACATAGTAGAAAATGCTTCTACAGCTTTAGAGATATTATTTTACTAAGAAAATATAGTAAATATACCTTTGCGATTTTGGAAACATTATTTTACTAAGAAACTATAGTAAAAAATGCTTATGTGATTTGAGATATTTTTTTACTAAAAAAACCTAGTAAAAAATACATCTGCAGCTTCAGAAATATTTTTATTAAAAAATGATTCTTAAGCTATGATAGCAATTATTATTACAGTTTCGCAAAATCAAATTAAATTAAATCAAATCAAATATTTGACGAATCAAATCAAATTAAATCAAATATTTGACAAATAAAATCAAATCAAATCAACTAAACTAAATCAAAATGATTAAATATATATATATATATTTTAAGATGTGGTGAAGCATTTATTTATTAAAAAACATTTTTATAATATAAATTAAAGAAAATCCAAAAATGGGTACATAAAGTAGAAAATAAAGTAAATGCTACCTAGCCTTTATCAAAGACATATTGCTTTCTCCAACTAAACTAACTGGTTGTCTTGTTGCATTAAATTTAAAAAAATTAATTAAATTCACATTATAAAAATTTTTTTTAGTTAAATTTTTAAATTTTTATTTTTATATTTAATAACATTTACACAATTGGAATTTTATATTTTTTTTCAAAAGAAAAAGCACTATTATCCCGATACTCTTTTTTATTATTATTATTAACCATTATTATTTCTCAAATTATATAAAAAATTTATATATAAAAAAAAATTAAAACATATTAGATTTTAGCCAACTTTTAAGACAAATTGTCATATGAATTGTATCACTTTCAAGTCTATATGTTCTGGTATAATTACATTGCCACTTTGATTAAATAATCATTCTACAGACGCACTAGTAAATAGTATTAATAAATAATCACGCGCTATTATAGATAATGTTGGATAATTAATTTCATATTTTTTTACTATTCTAATATATTTATAGTTCTTGATTAGAGTGAACTATCAAGATAATTAAATAGTTTGTCATATCCATTATTATTTCAAAAGCGTTTAGGAATAAGAAATAAAAAATCTTCATTATTGCTATCCTCATTAGGCGGCACTAATTTGATTTTCTGTATTACATTTCTCACCCCTTCCGATTTTTCAAAAATATCACAAAAAAAAAATTTATCAATAAAATTGCGAGTGTCAGATCATGTGACTGATCAGTTCAATCAATATATGACATACATTACCATTTTTTTCAGAACGAATATACACTCTATCATTTTTTCCAACGATTTCTTTTCATTGAATATATTAA